ATATTGTTAGCTGATGCTAACTGTCTAGCTAACAAGCTTGCTGGTGCTAAGTTGAGGTCATTTTTAGATATAAAGTCCAACTATTTTTATTCAACCACCTAGATAGATTACATCTGGGGGAAAATAAAGGATGTGATGTTCAGAACATGGTAACTACAGTAATTATCAAAGTGGATATATAGTTATTATTTAATGTACTACAAGGCAAGCAGATGGCCATGAACACAATGCGCAAACTTTCACTTGTCCTCCCATACAGCAAAACGCTTAATGTGGCATAATAACGGACTAAGATTATAAAGACAATTCAGTAGCCTATATGTCTTGTTGTTGACTCAAAGTATATACAGACCATCAAATATGAACGTGCATTTTGAAATGCATTAAGTGATTTTAAAAGGATCAACTCCATACAGGCAAGCAGGCAATGCGTTAAACTGCACGTTAAACATTTTCCTCCTATAGAAAATCATTATAAATAAAACATAATGTAGCTTAATGGACAAAGACAATGATATAAAAGAGCTGTAGACAGTTTATTCTATATGGGAAAACGAACACGAAACTGTGCGTGTTGCATATATTCTGGGCTCACCTGCTTGCCTGTACATATTAGTTATGTATATTAGAACAAAATAAAAAATAAAGACCGCAAGTGACGTCGCTAGCGGAAGCGCAAGTGTCTGAGAGTGCAAGTCTGAGAGTACAAGTGCAAGGCTGCAGCCAGACCCTCTTGGATAATTTACGTAGTGTCACGTAGTGTGAACACCACAATGACTTCAAGACAGACAGCAATGTCGTGTATCATGTAGTCTGAACAGCACAGCGATCTGCCGACGTTTAAAGTTGTGTAATCTGAACTAGGCTTAAGTCAGCATCGCCAGAGTTTGTTCAGCTTGAGCTCTGCACTCTTGTGAATAGTTTCGCTATAACCGACATAGTATAAACAATGTAAATAAGAGATTCATTGTGCAGTATAGACAGATTTTTTGGTTTTTTACTCAGTCAGTGAGCTTGTGCTGGGGTTGAACCAGGGGCGGCATTTCCGTATGGCAGTCGCCATACCCTAGCCTAGTCAGGTGTGCCGTGGAAAATCCAAACTCTATTATATTTCGTTATTATTATATATTATTATATATCCTTATGTCTGTTTGAGGGTTTTACAAATATTTAACCAATGAAAAGCATTCAAAAGAGCTTGTCACTAAACTTTTTAATGCTATGGATCCTTAAACTGTCAGCAAAACCTCGTAACTTCACCCTGCTTCCATTCACAACAAAGCGCCGCGCAGTGCGCGCAACCTCGAGAGATCGCGGCTTGTTCGCAATGCAAGGGTAAATAATAAATGATGTTTGAATAAGTACAGAGCTTTCTTCACTAAAACACTATATCTATAAAAGCTAATGTTTTTTGTGTGGTTGAAGAGCGGATAATAGCTTTAGCCGTCTAGTTGTAACCAATAGGCTACTTTTTGTAAGCTACGTTTTAAATATCCTGTACATTTAGCGCTTCATCGTCTATCATGAGATTTTGGCCAAGTTTAATAAATGTACACCACAGCTTCTTGTCTCCATTGGCAACACGCACGATTTGTGTCGATTGCAAGTGACGTTGCAGGTATCGGAGAGTGCAAGTGGCGATTGCAAGTGACATTGTAATTTAGTTTCTTTTTTCTTGTCTTCACCACCTGGCTACTGTTGTAAAATGTTGAGAGATTCAAACAAAAAGTAATCAATAAATAGAACAAAATAAAAAATACAAAAGACTGCAAGTGATGGCAATTGCGGAATAGCGCAAGTGTCTGAGAGTGCAAGTCTGAGAATGCAAGTGCAAGTCTGCAGCCAGACCCTTCTCCATATAGCTACAATAAATGTTATAACCTGTAAGTTGATGAAAGCGTATAATGCGATGCACTTGCTGCCTCCGATGCGGCCGTTGTAATGACAGACAAAATACAGATCATTCGCTGGTCAAAAACCTTGTTAACTCCATTTAAGCTTGATTTTCATAAAATGTCAAGTGCAAGTGTCTAATAAAGCCACATACCAACTCTGATGACGCAGTGTTTAATTATTATTATAAAAAAAGAAAAACGCTTTTTCCTTTTCTATTTGTTTTATATTTCAGTGCTTAGTAATGTGCATACCCCCCCC